TATCCGTGGGGCTTTATCATGGCTGGTCGACGTTCACGACCACTCAGTCAATCAGGTGTGTATTCTAGAGGACTTTGAAAGCAATCTTCACACGCACTCCCAAGGACGAGCCCTCCCATGAGCGGAAAAATGGGTTCTCACAAATGTAACTGTCACTCAAACGCATAAGGGGCGATAAATCGGTTTTCGGTCTAAAATGGTAGCAGGGGTGCTATATAGTGAGGAAAGAGTGAAGCGGACAAAAACCTGCGAAAACCCGTTTTTTTCTACACGACTCTTGAAGCAATTTCGGACGAGTTTTCCCCTGGCACCGTGCCAATAACCGCTACGCTAGATAGGCTGCATATACAGGGGGGGGGGGCCAAAAAAAAGTCATTCCGGCCGAGTCACATATGAGCGAAGTTTTCGCAGCCCAGACAGAGGAAGTGGATATGAGTACCAGGGCGGAAGATACCCAAGATGTTCCTCTATAAGCAGGAGCTGGCGCTCGCCCATCACCTTCATGTACACCAAAATATGAAGTCATCTCCAGTCGCAACCTGACTGGAGAAGACCTTCGGAACTCATGTCACCTCCAAACAGCTGCGAAACTTCTAGTAGAGTCACCCATGGATAGCTACCTGGAGACCAGTACTCTCGATCTGGAAGACCTCCATCATCGAGCAGCTCCGTCAACGTCGCTACGGTCCAGGACATCATCTTCACCCCAGTCGCCAAGGCGCCAGTTGATGGTAGGGACCGGACGTACCTGGAATGGAGAGACCAATATTTTCTTCGCGGGCAACGGACTGAAGGTGAGCACTGGCGGTTACATCGAGCAACTCGAGAAGAATATCCTCCCCACATGTCGTCGCCCGTACCTTCTTGGAAACTTTGTACTGCTACAGCATTGGAGTGCCACCACATGAAATCGAAGGGCGTTGGAAAAACTTTCGCCTACTTGGAATGGAAGAACGTTGAGTACCTAAAGATGGAGTATTTAAGCGGGGGTCCTGAACTAAACCCCCTCAATTACTCGGGTTCGGGCGCGGAGTTTCAGATAGAGATCTCAATGACGATTTCTCCGCCAACGTCGAGGTGGTCGGTCGGCGTGAGAAATCGAACTATCCTCGCTCAACTCCGGTACCACTACTTCCGCGCGGTCGAATTTCTTCGATGGGCGGCTCCTCCTCCAGGCCAGGCTGTGGCGGAGTATCGTTATAGTATTTAATGTGCTCTTTAATATGGTAGTAAAAATGTCCGATAAAAATTTAATAAAGTGTAACTTATAGCGCCTTGAAAGTCATGGAGGCAAAATGACTTTTTTTTTGGCCCCCTGTAGGTAATGCGGTCAAGATATCCAGCGACACTGCAGTCGCGTCAATATACTCCCTCTTCTTCATGTTGTACTTCGCAAATGAAGCGATACGAGCATCAGCATCGGTTGGACATTTGTGGGCAGGGGGGGGTGGGCGTCCGGGTCCGTATGTTGCAGCTTGATAGGGCGTTATAAGGGTATGTCATTGAAAAGGGGATTTATCGTTCCACTTGCCTTTAAGGGCATGTTGAACAAATACTGAGACACCGCCCCGCCCTCTGCCTACAACAACACCCAGCTTTCATTTCTCAAGGGTTGTCCTGGGGCTAACGCTTTTGCGCCACCAACTCTTTCCACTCCGTGGGTGGGAGTGAGGTGATAGGGGGAAAAAGTGAACTGTGAGAACTCGTCCGGCCTTGCCTCTCTTCGCCTTAAGCACGTACAAGCGCGGTTCAGCAAATGGTGCTATATGAAGCATTTCAGGCGGGTTTCTGCTTTCTCCTTCACTTTCGCGTTGTTTACACTTGCCACTAGTATTTCAGCTGCACAACTTGCCAATTTTAAGAGTGTGCTTTTAATCATCAATACCTTCAGAGAGTTAGCTGTGTTCTTGGTGTTTCTCAAGACGCTCTTGTTCTTCTGGAACGGCCATCCGGCGTTGCGATCTTTTCCACGCCAACGCATTCCATCATCGGATGGGCGAACACCGACATGGGGTACGTCGCCTAACTTACAAGTAATGGCCAGATATCTTCCGCGAAATATGACTTTTCCAGTCTGAAGATCTATTATGATCACGGTGACATGCTGCTGTTACGGTGTTGTACTGAGACTGGAACGGATGCGGAGTTAAATCTGTTACTACAACGATTGAAAGCCGTGACAAAGGGGGATGAGGCTAAGGAGGTATCATCCACGCGCTTGGCATCTATGTGAACGATTTAGGAGCAAATAATCGATTTCAGGTTGTTCTTCGCCGTGCTCGTACTTCGGACAGTTGGGGTTTTCATGTGCAAGACGAGGGGGTAGTGACGGATGTAGAAATGTATCAGACTGCATGGAAAGCTAGCCTTCGACAAGGCAGTCGAATTGTCGAGGTTGGGCCCAATAATAGTGCACTTATTTCTTCATTTTTTTTTTAATTTCGAAATAATGAGCCACCTTCCACGGTATTCAAAATGACTTCTTTTAGATTGAATCGCTCACGGTTGCGACGCTCTCCTTCGATAAGATCTCTGAGATACTTTCCGAACGAGACACCGTTCGACTGCTTTTGATCTCTCCGGCAAATGACGGATCTCCTAGACGGGGGTGAGTTATTGTTAACCAGAATGGAAGTTTTGACTCTAGTAGGATCTGTTTATTGTTCATTAGTAATACTGCCTAAGAAAAGGTAGGTTATACAATACCTTCAGAGCAGAACTGCACACTCACCCCAGGACGGTTCTTGCCGCACGCGAGGTAGATTCGTTAGCAGCGGCATTAAGGTGACAGTTTCTCAGCTCGAAACTGCGCAAAAAAAATGAGGCCAGTAGTATAAGGTGATACTCGGGTACAGTATCCACACTCCACCCGCGCTGCCGCACGGCTAGCCGCACGTCTAACTATAGTCAATACGCTGCTCGTCTGCACCCTCTCACTTCTGTTTGTTCTCTATCTGTAGCTTTCAAAGTCGACGCAAGTGCTGCACCTTGAAGATGGCGGGGTAGGAGACCGAGAATCGCACAACAGCCCCATTGCCCTGCTCATTTTGAACGGAGAAATTAACGCGCTGCTGCAGCTGCGGACCAGTCGACTTCGCGGCTGCAAGAACCATCCTCGAGGTGAGTGCACAATTTGTCCTCAAGTACACTCCTTATTCCTGATACGGAGCATTCGTGGCATGTGGGTTACACATGAGATAATTCATTTTAGAACACTAACGCCTGCCCGATCTGTTTGGCAGGTTTAGGGGTCAGATTTGTTAGCAATGTGGCAAATGAAGCATTTAATGTCAAACAAAAAGTAGCAAAAAAGGCTCCAAAAAGCATGGAAAATAAGATTCCTACATCGATAAGGCATGGTGGACGAGTTTTTCGCGAAGTTTTGGGTGTCTCGAAAACGCGGTCGCCGCGTTACGGCGTGATTCTCATGAGGGCAACTCACCTAGGTATTCTTACCTAATCTGAGTTATTCCTCGGCGGGCTATTGGTAATGGATCTGTCTATGAGTTAATCTCTCTATCAGTGCACAAAACAAACGCTAGAAATTTAGCGGTTATCAGTGCCAACAAGGATTGATAACGGCAAACTAATCGAGGCAGTATTAACAGGACAGGGGGGTCAGCTTATCATTGTTGACTCTCCGCCTTCTTCTATCAATCGATTTCGAGTCGCAGAACTGGGGATTTCCTCTGTGGTTGAGGACTGCCGCAATCTTAATACATTAAGAGGATTTCTTCACCTTTGGTTGATCGCGGATGCTGCCTTCAGGACAGCTGTCATTTCGTTAGACAAAGTCATGATTACAACTGCCCCAAAATGAAGATATCTCACGGAAAGCTAAGCCACGTGTTCAATTCGAGAACGCAAGCCACGTCTCTCACCGCATGCTCAGGGATTTGAGTGTACATGATGCCTCGTCAAATCTCAGGTACTTTTTTCGTTACCGCTTTGAAAAACAAGGTGCCCGCGTAAATTTGACTATTCGTATTTAAGCATAAGTTTTTTTTTAATGCGTCTTTTCCTTCAACACCACAACATTTCCATCGAGAAAACTAAAATCCCTCCCTGTATGTCTGCACTCTCTTTGGAGAAGAGAGCCTTTTCTTGCAAGTTATTCACTCTCAAATAAACCAGGTTTTTGCATGTTTTTTTATCACTGAAAATTTCTCTTCGGTTTTGGTATTGATGAGTGAAACTAGATGAAATATCACCATAGGTAATTGACACCTCTTTTCAGATGTGAAGATCCCCACTGCCCTGCCGTTAAAGGTGTAGAACAAATGCTAACTCCAGATGCATTCGCTAGACAGCCAGTCAGGTACGTAGTTCATTCATTTCAATTTGATGTACCCTTTCAATCTCTAAGGCTGGGATGCGGAAGCACCACTACTTCGGACACGTACAGTTCAAGACTTTCTGCCAAATTCTCCCTAGGGTTAAACTGGTGTTTTATCCCGCATTTCGGTCAACGAATCGGCCTTTCCCATCTGCTTGGGATTCCTTGCCAACAACGCACTCTCGTCTTTTTTCATGCCCCTGATCTTAACTGTCCTGGCGAGACTTTTGAGTCGGAGGCCTTTCGTTACCACAGGACGAAATACCTAACTGTTAATCACACTTCTTTGAAAGAGCTGACGTGTCCGCTTACACGACTCGAAACCGCTTGATAAGAATGCCACAGCTTTGCCGCAGTTTGTAGTCTCCGCCCTTTGTTTATGATCTCCTCCTTTGACGTTTCGTTTCGGCGGAGGGGTCTCCAATGATCGACACCTGGGTTATTCAGAGCGTTTTGACGGGTTTTTCTTTCTTCGCTATTAAATTACTTGGTTCATTGACACTCCTATCTGGAAATCATCACTCGTGTGGTAATCATAGGCAAACCTTTGCCCTTAAACATAGCTCTTGGACAAAAGATAGCTGGACCAAAGACAACAAATCATAAAGACCAAAGACTACTGTAACTAGTTCCTGTTCAAACACTGAAGGGTTGAGTTTTAGTAGAATTTAGTCTTGAACTAGCGCACTTCACTAGCAAGAGTTTCTTATGATGTGATCAAACAGTTGTAGCTACCAAGAAATGTTTCGCATGCGTAACCGGGAGTATGGTACTTCACCGGCAAACAGCCCGGCTGGTTCGTTGGAGGACCGCTCCTTCACCTTCTCTAACATGAAGCGAGCAGATGGCGCAAGGGCCAACAGCACATGGTGAGTACAGCATCAATCGTTTTGCATACAGTACTTCTACTTATGACCAACGCAGTTACGGTGTATACGTCTCGCATAAGGGGAGACACGATCAGCCACAACGGCCCCGGTCTAAACACAGCATACGGGGAGGGGAGGGCATAAGTACTTGGCGAGTCATATATGATCGAGCGAAGTTTTCGCAGGCCATACAAGGAGGTGGACACGAGTACCAGGGCGAAGATACCACAAGATGCTTCGTCGATAAGGCAGGCAGCCAGGCTGCGCATACACTGTAGATGTAGACAAAAATAATGAAGTCATCTCAATCGGTACCTGACTTGAAAAAGGGCTTCTGGAATTAGCAAAATCCGAATAGTGAGCTGCGATTTCTTGAATGGAGTACATGCTTACTGGAGACCAGTACTCTTGATCTGCAAGACCTCCAACGTCGAGCAGCTCCGACAACGTCGCTACGGTCCAGGACATCATCTTCACCACAGTCGCCAAGGCGCTAGTTGGTTGTATGAACCGGGGTTCATGAATGTAAAGACGGATATTTTTCTTCGTGGACGCGACTGAGAGGTGAGCGCCTGACGGTTAACTCGAACGCAGCTCGTGAAAGATCCTCTTCATGTTCATTGGCCTTGTCTTCCTTGAGACTTCGTACTGCTACAGGATTGGGTGCCTCCATACGGAATCGAAAGGCGTTGGCAAAACTTTCGCCTACTTGGAATGGAAGGACGTTGAATACCTGAAGAGAACGGAATATCCAAGTGTGTCACCTGACCTGAACCCCTCAATTACCCGGTTCGGGCGGAGCTCAACAGGGTGGTCTACAGTGGCGGAGAAATCAACGATCTCGCTGAACTCAGGTACCGAATCACGGTCGCGTGGCAGAATCGCTCGTCCAGAAGGCTGTGGCGGAGCATCATGATAGTATACAATATGCTGTTGAATATGGTGGTGGAAATGTCCCATCAGAATTTAATTAAGTGTAACTTATAGCGCCTTGAAAGTCAAGGAAGAAAAGTGACTTTTTTTTGCCCCCCTGTATACGCTACCTACCTATTCTGTTGAGCGCTCTTTTACGAGTGGGGCACCATAAGACTCTAGTGACTCCGACAACGCGCCAACACAGGACCTCGGTCTCTAAGAGGTCCGCATCGAACATGACGGTAATATGTCCACTACGTAGGCATATAGCGTAAAAAGCATGCCGGAAGGGAGACCACGGTCCTATGTTAGCACCTTGCCGAGTCGCTAAATAACTATCGTGTCCCACTCGTACGAGAGCGCGGACAAGAATATATAAGTAGCGTGTACTACTGTGGTTAGGTGCAGGGTCTGCCGTATAGCACTGGACTTGCCCAACTCGTACAAGGGAATAGTCCACCTCGCTGCTAGTCTTACACTATGTCTTCTTATAGCAGCGATCACCGCTTCGTGCTGTTTTCAAATATCGCTAGTCCATTTCAGCACGGCCTCGGGTTATGGGCAGGGCACGGCTCTCACTATAATGAGCCGTCAGACAAGCTCGGTACATGATCACATGTGCCTGATGCTGAATACGCCAAAGGCACTAATCCGTGCTCAGTCCGACGAGCATCTTCGATCGCCCATAGCTGAAGGGAACAGAAAGGTGGGTACCGTGATTCTTTTTTCCACAGTTCTCTATGAAATTATCGTCTCCTTTGCCTGCTTTCTTTGAACAGTTCCGTGTTCGCTCATTTGCTCGCTAACTTCACTATAATTCCACAAGGATCTTTCACCGTTAGTTAACTGGGAAGAATTTCAACAAGGTAGACTGGATCGAAAGTGCACAGGCTGCAGGCTGATCCAAGATGATGATTCATTTTATATAATTTTTACATCTATTCTCTTGAAATGATATAAAAGCGTTAGGGACAATCTTCTCAAATCTGGGTCTGCCTATCAGAAACGTTTCCCAGTTGGAGTGAACGCGCTGGAAGTAGTCTGTCCACTCCTTGTGTCTGTGCTCCATTGTCCCTTTCTTCATCTAGAACCTTCTTCAGGACGTCCGTCCCCCACTCACGTCCCCGTCGACTTGGATGGGGCATTTTGCACTTCCGCCAGTTCCTTCCCTTTTTATGTAAACTTACAGGTCTAATTATCTCCCGACCTGTAAATTCTTGTGAAGCAGCGAAATGGTACAAGTGAACCACTTTGATTGCAAAAATTTACAGTCTCACCATATCGTTTAGTGCCCCCTCAAGCCAAACTGCGTCTGTCCATGAAAAATCGGTACA